CTTGCCGCCCCCCGGGGGAGCAGCAGCATCTCCCCAAACTGGTTTCGCCTCCCCAGCCCTGAGCCGTTGCCTCGGCGACGCCAGGTAGACAGAGGCAAACATCTCCAGCCAGGTGCGCTGCTGCCTGCAGGGAGGGAGGGGGCAGCCAGCTGCCTGAGTGAGGAAGCTGGAGGCCAAAGCCCTAGCTCAGCCAGGTGGGCCCCCTGGGGCAGGAGAGGAGCACAGGAGGGGGCTGGCAAAGCTGGGTGGAGGGAAGGAGGAGCTGTCACAGCACCAAGAACACCCCCCCCTCCCCCTGCAATGTTCCCTCTAATCTTATCCAGCCATGTGCGGATTAAATTTTATTGCATGCACTGAGGCATGCACAAGAGCGCACCACCAGTAGAAACAAAAACCTAGCCATGGGTGCTCTGCTAACCAGATGGGGGCATTTGAATCTCTGAGCAGCTGCACAAGCACCCAGCCACAGGGAATAGCAGGGAACGCTCAGTAACCCTGATCTATGAGCAGCACCAGAGCGGAGCCTGCACGTCGGCGAGTGAGACCAAGGGCAAGAAGGATGGCCTGGAAGCTCCTCTTTCATTCTAATGGAGACAGAACCAGCCCTGCCTCGCGGGGCAGCAGAGAGAGGGGCTCTAGGACCCAGGCTCCCCTGCGCTGGCTTTGCCCACGTAGCCGTATCTGCCAGGAGAATGACAGAGCCCTGCCAGCTGAAGGCCTGGCGTGGTGCTTTCGTGGCGTCACTAGTGTCATTCCGGGAGAGCCAGGCCAGACAGGTGGTGTTTCCACGCCAGGACGCTGCCAGCAAAGCCACACCGGCAAGGCTCTGTAGTGTAGGCAAGGCTCAAGGAAACCGAAAGTCAGACTGGAGAAAGAAAATGTTTCTTCACACACTGGACAATTAGCCTGCGGAACTCACCGCCACAAGATATCGCTGCGGCTGAGCACGCAGCAGGATTGCAAAGACTGGTTCTGCTATGGTGAGCATAGGCAGTTTTCTCCTCTAATGGGAGAAAGGACAGGCAGGGACAGGAATTGCCAGCTGGGTTCTGGCAGCCCGCTCCTCCAGGACAGGGTAAGCTGGGGTGAGCAAGGGAGCCTCCGTGGGCCAAATTCAGCCCATCACGCCGGTGGCTCCAGCCCCGGCCTCCTTGCCATTCCCCCGTCCCCAGGCTAATCGAGACCTAGGAACGGGGGAGCACAAAGCCTCCGCCCCTGCCAAGGGCTGGCGGTTCACGCTAGGCGCTGTGCGCCCCTTGCAGGGCGGGGGCAGGAGGCGAGAGACTTTGCACGCTTGGCCACCCGCAGCCCTGATTGGCCAGGGCACGCAGTGCTAGAGGGAACTGCCAGCTGCTAAAAGTAGCTAGTAGTTCACTCTAGGCACCGGGGGTGGGGGGAGGCGGCAAAGACTTCACGCGCTCCCCCACCCCGAGACCAAACATTGTCTGTGGGCGGGGAAGCAGGGAAGTATCCTGGCCCTGCCCCTTCCGCTTGAGGGCCCGCCCCTTCCAGTGCAGCCCGGGGG